TATTTCTCTAATATTTTATATTTATTTCTATTCTTAATCTCCTTCATTACACGCAGAGCCTAAAAACTATCCAGCAATTTTAATGATTAAACTTCTTGATTCTGATTTGATGAAATAATAAGGTATAATTTAAAATAAGTATAATTGTTATATGTTTTACGTCTTTATGTCCATAGTTTATTTCCATAATTAAAATGATACTTTTGTTCAAATATAATATTTTGTTGAATAAGATACGTAATATTTCACATATAATAGTTAAATTATTTACAAAACAAATATTTAAGGATTATCATTTACAAAATTGTATCAAATGTCATGAAATTAATGTATTATCACATATACTTCTTTCCAGTAAAAATAATTAAATGTATTTTCATCATTCATCAATAATCAATACTATATTGTTAGAAAATGTAAGCACGAGCTTCCTTTATATGTAAATGAAGCTCATAGTTATGGATGAAATTAAAAATAATGATTAAAAATGATTTAACTGAAAATTAAATTATAGTAGTTACTTAAATGTAATGAATATACATTAAATTTCATGTACATGTACACAAATATATTTTTCAGTTATAAATACATTAAATTTAATGTAATGTGATTATGAAATTAAGTTAAAATGTAAAAGTATATTAATTATTGTGTAAAAGTATATTAAATTTAAAAAATAATAAGTTACCGTTACTAATTATCAATTTTTAAAAGTAACTTATTACAGTTATTATTACTTGAAAAAGTAACTCTTCATTATTTTTTCGTTACTTTTTTAAAATTGACGACCATCAATCATAATGGCCTAAGGATTTTCTAGTCTCAGGCACTATGAGTGGCTTATGTCCAATCGAATCGTGTACAATCGTGTATAAAGTAATGATAAAAATAACTAATATTCATTACCGTTACTGAAAAAATTAACTGCGTTACCAGTAAAGTTAACCAATAAAAAAGTAACTTATAACTGTAACTTATAACAGTAACTTTGTTACAAATAACGAGTTACTTCCATTCCTTGTATACAGAGTGTTTTATAAATACATGTCAATATTTTAGGAGATAAATCTATACACTAAAATAAGTAAAAAACATATGAACATATATACCTTAGTTTTCAAGTTATGGACGATTAAAGAAAATATTTGAAATATTCGCCTCGTGCGTCAACACACGTTACTTCACGCCTTAGCATTGAGTCCCGCAATCGTTCAAAAATATTAGATATTGTTCGAATAGTCTCAAATCTATTTCGTAGTCTTTCTCGCAGATCATCCGCATTATTTACTGGTATTGAATACACAATAAATTTTTAATAGCTCCAAAAATAAAAATCTAATAGACTGAGATCAGAAAAGATCGTTGTGGGATGGGTCAGCTTCGCCCTATCAATCAATTTGTGAATGTATTTAGGAATATTCTCACTTCAAGATAGAAATGAGACAGAGTACCGTCGAGCATGACCGATCATAGATACATCAAATGCATGCCGGCTATTTCAGCATAAGTGTACATTACTATTTTGCCGCTTTTAGAACAGTATTTAGAACAGTAATTCGCGAACATAAAATACCGACTGTTTGAAATTCTGTCCGATTTATGAGAATATTATTTGTAAACATTAGATGTTTATAAACATTAGAGGATATTGTTTATAAACATTAGAATGTTGAGATGTGCTAAAATATACAGTAATGTTGACGCAAAATGAACATTTTCTTTAATTTCCTTTAATCATCCATAAATCACTTGAAAACTAAGATGTGTAGGATATATGTTTATATAACATTTTTATTTTAGTGTATAAATTTACTTCCTAAAATATTGATATGCATTTACGAAATACTCTATATATGTATACTTATATAATATACTGTACTGTCATACCCTACGTATAGCTTATGTTCGGAATGTTATTAAATTGATTGACATATAACTCATAATAATTACTCATACAAGTACAGTATTTTATAAATATATCTTTGGCAATGCATTAATCTTGGATTGCTATTTAACTGCATGATGTAATTTCTAATTTATCTACAAATATTTTGATGTTAACTTGTATAAAATAACGATAAAAACACTAAGTCTTTTTAGACGAATTGAATATCTTAATAAAACTAATTATCTAGTAAAATGGGAAAATTTATTCATAAAACTTAGAAATGATTTTTTTTTTACTACTATAAGAAAATGTATATTATCTTATTTATATCTATAAAGAAAGACGTTATATTACATAATTACACTTAAATGGTTCTAAGTTTTATCATATAAATCACAACTAACTGTAAAATCATAACTAATTATAAAATTTAATTTTACTAAAATACATCGTAATTCTTTAAATAATACAGAAAGATATCACTGAGGTATCATTTTACAATCTATGCGAAGTTTTGTAAGATATTAAAAAGAAAACCTTTATAAAATAAAA